ATTTTAAAATATTGTGTAAATCAGAGTCTTGCTTAATAAGAAGATAATTACTGGTCTCTGCAATAAGGATCTAATCCTGTGAGATGCCAAGCACCTCCTTTGAGGTACTGATCACACTAAACTGCTGTTGAATGCAAATTTCAGCCAGTGTAATGACTGAGCTCTTTCCTATGGCTTTGATGGGAAGATAGCACTTTGCAGAAATCAAATGAAATAAATGGGGTTACTCAAAATAGCACAGTTATGCAAGTGCACAAGTGTTTGCAAGATCAGAGCTTATAATTACAGCATTTAGCTAGGAGCAATAAAGAAGAATCCCAATAACAAAGAATCGTAGAGCCTGTATGATGTGATAAAGGTAACTGTGCAGATGTAATAGACTTTTGTAAGATGTTTGTCTTGGTTCTACACAATATTCAGATTAAAAAGTTATTACTATACAATATCAATAAAAGACAGTGGATTAAGAACTATCTTACCTGAGAATCATCAAGTGGAGTGGTGAATTACTACTTATTTGGCTACCAAATCTTTTTGTGATGTGAGCAGTGTACTCAAATGTCTGGATTATTTGGTAACCTGGGCCCATTCAAATAGTTTGTTTTAATGCCTCCTAATGCCATTATACATCTAGGAACAAAGAATACAGACCAACCCCAGAAAATGGGGGAATGGTACCTAGGAAGCAGGGACTCTGAAAAGAAGCGATGAAACTGAAAGTAATCTAAGAGTTAGATGGCCAGTTTACCAAACATGAGTTGTGAAGGTTGTACTGAAAATGAATGAGTTCACCTCTTCATACAGAAGCACTGTAAGGAGGCCTGAGCAACTGGCACCAGCCCCTAGTACCCACTACAAGGGGATGCAAAAACAGCAGCTGCCACAGCTGGTCCAACACATGCTACTACTGCCATCCAGGACAGAGACCCTGATAGGTATGCCTCTGACACTCTGTGGGGGTGGCGGGGACTATGTAGGTGGGTGGGTCCCCTGCCCGCCCCCCTGCAGCAGCAGTCAGCAGGGCGCTCATGGCCACTCCTGGCAGAGCCCCCTGGCAGCTACATGTGGCAAAGGGTGCCAGCCTGCACCCACTGGCGTGCACCCCCAGACAGCACCAGGCTGCTCTTGCTGTCACCTGCAGCTCCTGGCACTGTTTGCAAGAGCTACATGCTCTTAGGCTGGACTGGCTCCATGGAGGAAGGGCCCCGCCTGGCCTGAGGGTGTGCAGCTCTGGTGTGTGATGCCAGGAGCTGTGGGTGACAGCAAAAGCAGCCTGGTCCTGCTCAAGGGCACACGCCAGTGGGTCCGGGCTGGTACCCTGGTCAGCCACTGGGGGTCTCTGCCAGGAGCGGCCACGAGTGCCCCATCAGCCACTGTTAGTGCTACTACTGCGGGGGGTGGCGGGGGCTGTGCACCATGCAGGGGGCAGGTGGGGGACCCACTCCTCCCACATAGTTCTCCCTACCCTCACACAGTCCTCCCTCCCACTGCCTCCACATCCCTAATTACCAGGGACAGAGCCTGGGTTGATCTGCTGCTGCAGCTTTGCCTCGCTTGTATTTGCTCCAGCACACTGAGGCAGCCTGCTGGGGCAGCAGGGGCATGGGGCAGCCATAGAGACGCTCCATCTAGGGCTTTTTTTCAATCTTTTTTTTTTAAATATACTGGGATTTCCTAGTATCAAAATTAAAGTCCGTGCTGCAAACATGCAGTGCGAGGGACATTTTTTCATTCCCAGCTTGCCTCTTGCGGTGTCTCAAACTGCTTTGCTGCAACAGGCATGTGCTCACTCATCTGGACACAGCCAGTGAGACCAATCCCAGAACACTGCATATAGTTCTAGGTAAAAGGATGTTGAAAAAGTGGAGTATGTGCAGAAAAGTCTTTAAAATGATATAAAGGCTGGAGAAAATGTCTTACTACGAGAGCGATTTAAAAAGCTCAGTATAGTTAGTTTATATAAAATAAAGTAACAAGGTAGCTTGATTACCATGTATGTAAGTGCCTTCATGGAGAGAAAATATTGGGTATAAAAGAGCACTTTAATGTAGCAGAAAACATGGGCAACTGGTGCCCCCCCTAGTGACCAGGCAGCGACTAGGGGTGGGGGGGTGTCCCCATGGCCGTTCTCACCAACCAGGGGGTGCCCCTGTGGCCAGCCGGGAAGCGGCTGTGACACTCCCAAAAATGGCACGCCCACTCCCCAGCCAGCACTTGTGGGGGGGACACTGACGCTTCTGCCTGCCCCCCTGCCTGTCAGGGGGTGCGCTGGCACACTCAAGGGGTGTACATGCACCCCTGTGCACCCCCTACGCGTCACCACTGGCCGAAAAAGAAGCAATGGTTCTGATATAACAAAAAGCAGTAGCTAGAGTTAGACCCAGATACATTCAAATAAGAAACAAGGCAACAACAAAAAAATACAGTAAGGGTAAGGGTGATTAACTCTTGGAACAAACCTTCTAGAGCAGTGATCGATTCTCCATCTCTAACAGTCTTCAAATAAAGGTTGATTGCTTTTCTACATGAAATGCTTTAATCAAATGTAAGTTATTTAGTTCAGTACAGGGATCACTAGGTGAGATTTTATTGCAATGTTATATATTAGGATAGACTAGATACACTGGAATTTCCTTATGGCCTTAAAAAGTTATGAATCTGTGAATTACTTCCAGAGGCATAATGAGCTCATTTGATTCCTGGGACAGGGGAGGGGGTATACCAAACACTGTAGATAGTGTTGGAGAGGGCCCGCCTAGTGCTGGTGACTCCACACCACCACCACTGCTGGCTTCACATCTGGCCACTCGCCACTCCTCCCTGCCACTGCTGCCTGCTTCTTTGCATCTGAGCCCTGTGCAAGCTGATTTGCCCTGGGCCCTGTATCCTGCTAGGGTAGTCTCTGCAAAGGCTCCTGGGAGTGATTCTCGCACCCCTCATAGTCAATGCCTGGGGCTCATGTCCTGCTCACCTCCTACTTACATTAGCCTAGAAAGGTGGTTAAGACTGAGCAAATATTGATGTTAAGTAATGTTTCTTTGGCTTCCTTTAAAATCAGCTTTATTTTTAACCAGCAACTGCAACTCCTCTCAGACAATTGCCAGTAGGATATAGTTTATAACTTATATTTCTAGGTTACTGTATTTAACACATGATTCTGTTTGTTTTTGCTGCCTGTGTATTTACTTCTGTGCAAGGCAAGCCCATTTTATGAGCTAAACAAATTGACAGCATCCCTTTAAAAGCCATTATGCTGGTCCAAAACCATTGCATATGAAGAAAAACATCTACTCAAAAAGTACATCTTTTATTAATTTGCTCACATTGAATTAGTAAAATAAGAACATTTATAATAATGTACATTACCTTTTTGCTTTCTAATAATAAACATGCCTCTCAGTAGTTTAATAAGAAAAGCCTGTAAATGCAACATTATATATCAAACTGACAAAAATCCACATACGCATGTCTAAAGAAGACTGTAAAGGAATTAAGTATATACCTCATCTAGCCCATCTTTGAATACTTTAAGGAATACATATAAATATTACTGATTCTTTCCAGAATAAATTTTCACATAAAGTACAAAAATTAACAATATAAAATTCCTGAAGAGTGGAGTGCATAACGCTATAAAAATGCAGAAGAAAAGTTCTGGTATTCACTCAGTTTCTAAGAAGTCTTAAATGGAAGGTTATGGTGGTCATTATTATCTTTGAAGTGCTACAAATAACGTATGACAGTCCTGTCAGTATTGTGATCAAGAAGTAACGTGCAATGCTCTCCTAAAACTGAGCCTGAGCACAGCAGGTTAATTGAGGAAGTCTAGACAGAAAACTGTTTGCTTCTGCAAAAAATATCTCACTACATAGAAAAGAAAAAATGACTTGAGCAAACTTTGGTTTGAATTGTCACATAATGCAAATCTTCTGGCTGAGAGGGAAATAGAGTCTGAAACTAAAATGACTTTAAAAAAAATTACAGTTTAAACGGTATGCCTTTTTTGCCTGGAAAAAAAACCACGAGATTTCCCTCTTGTTTCACTGTGACAGAGAACAATAGCACACATAAGGACTTATCCTAGTCCATCTGAATGCAGGAAGATTTTTCGTCATTGCTCTGGACAAGAACATAATCAGGCCTAATATAGGAACTGCTCCATAAAAATGGAAGTAGTTTGCATTACAATTTTACTTTTTAAATTTCTTGTATCACCCTTTAATGCTGAAAACATACAGCTGCATGCTTCAAACAAAACTGGTCTCTAGAAAGTGATCTTTATTGGCGAGATTTAATCCATCCCTCTGAACTTCAGCCACTGCTAATATAAGGCATGTCCCCACAAGTGGGAACGTGTTTCCCCAGGAACAAACAGTAGCGGCACAATATGTGCCACTGCTACTTGTCCCTAGGGAACACCTGTAAATGGGTGCTCTAGCATGTAGCACATTGCCCCAGGTGGGGTAGGGGAGGCTGGGGCCAGTATCTGGGCTGACCCCAGCAGCCTTACCTGGGGTCCTGGGGGCCTCCAGAGGCCACAGCTGTGGCAATCCTGCAGCAGGAAGCATGACCGTCAGCTAAGTTCCAGTTCAGGCAGTGCATGCTGCTGCCACATATACCACCCTGGTTTTTTTAGGTGTGGGTTTTTTGACACTGCTCATGCATGCTTGTCTGGACACACCCATGGAGTTGGACTGTGGGTTTTTACCCACAACTCTCAAGTCTATGTAGCAATGCACCTCCATAGCAATGCACCTGAGAGTTCTGGAGCAACTGTTCCAGAGATCCCTGGAGCATCCTCTCTGCTCATTTTGGGGTGGGCTGCATTCTTAGAGGCACAGATGGTATCATGGCACTAGAGCTGCAATTGTCTCTGATCCTTTTATAATAAGAACCCTTCTTAAATGCCCCTTCTTACCCACACACTCATGCTACTGCCAAGGAAATCCTGGTACCTGAAACACAGGAAAACTGTTGTACCTCATATAAATATTTTTCTCCACAGGGCAAAATACCATGCTACAAAGTTAGATCCCAAAGTTACTTAGCATATTGCCCTTATTAGGCCTGTGCATGAAAGATCAGGAGGTTTTCTATCCCTATAAATGCAATTATATGCTGCGCACACATTCTTCTGGATGTTATACAGTGCAGACCTTTTTCATCTTTAAAAAAATCCAATCAAACCAAAAGGAAGTTCCCAAACTTAACTGGGTGTGCACAAGTATTTAAATAAAATTGGTTGATGCTTTGGAGACAGCCTGGAAACTTCAATTAACTCCTTCCTAGGCATGAACAAAAAGGAAGAGTGTTCCAGGTTACTAAAGGGTGAGTATGGAATACAAAGTATTCTAGGGCATGCAACAGGAAGGAGAAAACCTTGGAAAAGGAAAAAAAAAACAAAAAACAAAACCTTATCTTTGATCTAAGGTTCAATGGATTATGTCCAGCAACCATCTGTTACTTATAAAGGATGACCCATGTTATAAATTAATGTGATTTGTTTTGTGCACTAGCACTCTGGTATTCCCAGACGTTTTCTTAGTTCAGCTGCCCTTTTTTCCATCTGTTGAAGGTTCCAGTGCCACTGTCTTTTATTTGACTGGAGTTTGTTCAGTTGACAATGCAAACGTTTTAGAATAGCATCACATCTTTTATTCTGTACCTAATAAAACAGGGAAAAAATCATTTGAAAGCTGTTAGCAGGAAAATCAATACAAAACACAAAGAATGAGACTAGTGTAGTTGGCTGGAATCTGCTGTAGGGAAGGCTGCACTACAGTGGCAAACATCGATTTGTACAAAAAAGATTATAAACTATACAAAGAGCAGAGGGTTCAGACTGTTTTTCATTCCTAAAAACCTGGACTTGCCTGTTACCAAGGTTAGTGGTGGAATAATTTAGATGACCTTGTTATAGTCTTCAGTATTTACACCACACAAACAATCATTTAGCTTCTTCATAGAATGGCAATATTGAAACATAACAGCACTGTAGCACTTCTGCCGTCAGCCACATTTGTTGAGAATAGCTGCTACTGAGGTTTATTTGAGGGTTACACAACAAAGGTGTTTTATTTAAAGGTAAAAACCACATGCATGCAACTAATACTGCATTATTAAAACTTGTTTTAATGGCATATATTATCAATCTTGTTGTTATTTTCTAAAACATTATGACTGGCATACATTTAATGTATATTTGAAAATATACATTTACCCCCACGTGCACAGGATTTAAGTTTCACTGCCCCACCTTTAACATGCACTGAAATCAAACAGACACTTCTACATGCTCTTCATCATCATCTTGTAAAGGGGATAGGTTGATTGCCCTCACCGTGATTGGCCACTTCATTTTGATTCTTATCCATCACAACTTTTCTAGTGAACTGTCAGAATCAGACTCAGCACTGGCTACGTACGACTACATTTGATTAATATTTAAAATGTATAATCAGCACCATCTTTGAGAAAATCTTTTGGTGAATGTGTATCTTTGCTTCTCTTGTTGGTGAAACTTGAGGAATGTGAACCTGTACAAAGGTGTCCTCTACACAGAAATACTTTCAGTGAGTAGGGATAGATAGAACAGCGCCCTTCTGGTTTCTGCTTCCTACTGTACCTACAAATCACCTTGTTTCTGTTAGAGGGGAATAATGTCACTCCAGCACAAAAACAATACATGAGTGTTAGATGACCCAATTCTTACAGGAAAGGTGGGCTGCCAGCATAAAACAAAGAGAGGAAATTATCAATTTTCTCAAATATCAGCTCTCAAGGTTACAAGGGTTCTAGCAACACTGACAGTATTGCTGCTATGACTAGTTATTATATATATTTGGTAAGGTAGGGCTAGCAACCTCTTTGCAAAACATTTTAAAACTTCAGGTACAGTACTAACATTCTTTCACTAGACTGTAATTATATTCTATTCAAAAGACTTTACCTCAATCTCTTTTCTAAGCTTAACATGCATTTTTTTCTCTTCTTTAAGGTGTTTTGTCTTTTCATTGATAGACTCTTTCATTACACTAATTTTCTCTTTTAAGTGTGTAATTTCTTCCTGCAGATAAAAATGGTTATAAAAAAATTGTTTGTAAAACAAAATTACAGTGCAATTGTTTACCTTGTTATAGGTGTCATCTTTTAACAATTTCTGTATAAAGAGTTACTTTAGCTAAAGAAATACATTCAGCACTTTAAAGGGTTGACTTCAATACTGTTCCTGACTACCTGAACATATCTGGGTATTTAAAAACAGCAGACAGAAAAACATTACTCAGGAATATGGAAATAGCTGCAGCACTGAAGCACCTTGAATTTGCCTACCACACTACTACACATGCAGCTGTTTTTATTTTTTTAAGTATTTGAAAAATGTGTGCATGAGTAGATACAACCTGTAGTCATTATCTTGCCCTTCATATTTTCACCAAACTTGCTTTTTGTCAATAGTGACCTGGGAACATATTTCCTTATGGGTTAATTTCCTCAAAAAGCTACAGAAGTTGGAGTGCATCTTCAGCACAGTAGCTGTCCATCATACTGCCTGTGTAATTGTCCGTTGATAACTCACTAAACCACCTGCAGTTGGCCACAAAAGCATATTGGGCTAATTGTCTACTGTAGCAACCTGCATTTTCAACACATACAGTGATGGCACAACTTATAATTCACCTTGTGGCTCCATGGCCATTCACAGTAAGTGTATGCTCAATCAATCATAATGACCTACATTCACCACACCCAAATCCACAAGGCCTGATGGCCAAGTGAGAAGAATCACACTGGCACTTGTATAGCTGTAAACCAGACATACTAGACGTAGCCATCTCAACATGTGAGAAAAGAGATTTTGCTTAAATAGTAAACAAAGGGGAGAAATCTATGTTTTTCATACAAATAATTCTGTGACAACACAATAAACAAACTAGTTCACCCCTCACTTCCACTACAAAATTAGTCATCACAAATAAGTAAAAGTGCCAGATTATAAAAAGCCTGTAACTTCTGTGGACAGTGAAAAACTGGGCGCATCTACATGTTCAGTGGCGATACATTGGGGGTGGACGTGCACCCCCTGAGAGTCCTGGTGCACCCTCTGACAGACCACACTCCCTGCTTAGGTAATGGGTAGGCGGGAGTGCTGGAGACTGAGAGCACTGCGGTCACTTCCAGGAGTGCTACAGCCACTTTGGCCACAGGGGGACCCCCAGATTGGCCGCGGGGGGACCCCCCCAGTTGCTGACTAAGGTGGCACCAGTCACCCATGTACACATGCACTTTAATTCACAGTAGCCTATTCTACTGCACATTAAGGCTTCACAGCAAAAACAATGCTAATATGCTAACGTGCAGGAGAATTAATGTACCATGCGTTAAGTGTCACTAAAAAGGTGTTTGCTATTGCTACTGCGCATCAGGACAGTCTAATGTGTTTTTATGTAGTATCTCATATTAGAGGTACTAAACCTAATGCGCAGTAGCAAAAGCACATTAATGAACTTGTAGATATGCCCACCATGATCTAAAAGTACTGCATTTGTGACTTGGTGAATGCTAGGTCATAGACTATGGGCATCTATACACATGCTCCGGGGGAGGGGGGGGGCACTTTAATTAGAGTGGCTCTCCGAGAGCTGCTCTAACTAAAGTGCCCACAGCGTCACATGTATTCAGTATCCTGTGCTTCAAAATGGCAGTGAGGGCACTTTCACTAAAGCCTGTTTGCCATTTTGAAATGCTGGGACACAGAATACATGTGACGCAGAGGCTGCTGGAGTGCACTAATTAGCATGCTTCAGCAGACTCAATTAATCAAGTCTGCTCTGATGTGTGCTAATTAGCATACATTGGAGCACAGGTCTGTCATGTGTATAGGTGCCCATTGTGATTACAAACACAATCTTATGCAAGAAAGCAAAGTTATTCGGTGCAGAACTCAGTGTTGCAGTTTTTCAATATTCTGACAACTGGCTTCAGAGCCTCAAGGCTAGAGGTAGGATTGCATATCAGATGACTGGTGATAGAAGTGAAGGTATTAATCCAAACATGATCAACAGTGGGTTAGAGCAGCGAATCTAGATCTGCTCACTGCACATTTACAATTTAGACAATATGGTCTGTCTTTGCAGTTATGTACCACTGAGAAAGTTGGATAAAACAAATAGAAACCAAAAAGCAGAGGGAGCAGATATTTCCCAGGCTACGTACACAGACAGGAAAGATGAACTTAACATTGTTATCATCAGAATCTACATTGCTTCAAGCAGTTCAATTCAGTTTTACCATGATTACATATAAAGCACGGAGAAGATAGTGGATGGTGAATGGGATTCTGCAATAATTGCTATGATCTTGGAATCAAAGATAGGAAATGGAAAATGTACCCAGTCACATCATCCTGAAAACCCATCAAACATCCAAATAGAGCTTCTCTTGGTGACAAGCACCAACCAATTGTAATGATCAGAGCCTAAAAAAGTTCTCTTCTCAATATCTCTTGTGAGACTTCATGTTGAGTGACTGGTTTCAGCCAGCACCAATCCACTGACCAAAGTACGGGGATGAAGCAGCTCCAACGGATATCAACAGCTATAAGTGCCACCCTGGAATTTAGTTATGCAAGCAGCTGTTGAGGATATATAAGCTTTGGGTAGTAGCATGGCCCTGGTGGTGACAACATTGTCACTGTGAACTAACTTTGGAAACACATTTGAGTGGCTGATGATTCTGGCAGAACTACTGATGATCTGTGCAGTATCTAGTAGTAGACCGGCAGCTAATGACAAGAAAACTAATTAGACGTGAGAGATACTCTCCTCTTACATGGAAAACTAATCATAATGGATTTATGTGTATGTGTTATTCAGCTATATATACAGAGTTGTATGTTCTAAATAAATTCTCACCTATTGTAATTGTCTATGATATTATTCATACAAAAATATCTCCTACATAACTAAATGGCTTTAAGAAAAAGCCTATCTAGTGATACAGTTCATCCTCTGCTAAGAAAAAGGAAATTTAAACAAGGTAAACCATGCATTCCACATAGCCTATACTACAGAACAGCCATAACAGATTTATACTATTTTTATAACCACATACAACAGAAAGTAAGCAGAACACTGAACAGAGTTTATAGGCAGTAAAACGATAGCATATGTTCCTTTGTATAGGATCAGATGCAAATATAGATGGATGCGTTTTACATAAACCACATTCTAAAATTTAGTGCAACTGATCTCTTGGCCACCCAAGTAATAAATACTTCTGGCATTACATATATAGAAAAACATACAGGTTACAAAAAAGTTTCCCAGATGAAAACATAGTGTCATTTATATTTAGAAGAGACATTAAGAGTTTGAATTCCACAAATAGCTGCATAAATGTCATAAGCAACTATAACTCCCTCTACAATATCAACAGGAAATAACCTTTCCATGTTGTATGAGTTAAGTCTCTGATAGAGACATAATAGGATAGCTCCATGCCATGGCCAGCTTCAGAGAGAGCTCAGTCTCACCACCAACACAGCTGGGCTGCTGACCTGGGAGTTCCCTCACAGGGTGCATCTACATGTGCTTTTGAAGGTGGCGCAATAAATTCTAATTTAATGCGCTGGAATTGCACCCAGGTACCACATCTACATATGCGCCTGGGACCACAGCACATTGAGCTGAGTCGGAGCAGCTCCAACTGGCAGAGGGCCTGGAGGGTCAGCCTGCCAGCCTGGGGGTGCTCCTCCCAGCAATGTGCTGCGGAGTGGCTGGTTGACCCTTCTGAACCTCATGCCTCAGCCATCCATTCCAACTTCTACACATGCACTGCTGCAGAGTAAAAAACTGTGCAGTAGGGTAGTACTTGTATTTACAAGTACTACTACCCTGCTGCAGAGTTAATTAGTTCACCCCAGCCTAATAGGGCCTGTGTGTATAGAAGCAAGATGTGGAGCTAACTAATCTACTCTACAGTAAATGTTGTGTGTCGTCTCTAAAGATGCCACCCTGCTCTCTCTTCTGCCTGACTTCAGACTAACACAAGTGACTAATTCTCACAGATTTCCTTAAAGCTGTCATTGTTCATTAACATTGCTGCAAAACATAGTTTATGTTAAATTAAGCCTTTCAGTCTAAAAGCAACAGATTTGATTCGAATCTCAATTATACTTAACATTGCTCTTTGAGTGGTATGATTCCATTTTTTTCACTAGAGTTATTCCTGCTTGACACCAGCGCAGGTTATGTGGACCCTGTGATCCTAAGATTATTTCTCATATGCAGTTACTAAATTTTCCCCTGGAAGTTTCCCTTCAAAAGCATTTAGGTTAAAGTCATATACAAACACAGAAGTGCTATAAATGCAGAAAACAAAGATGATAAAACAGGTATTTTTTTCCTTCTCCTTTCTTTCTGTTCTTTCTCTTTTCTCATTAACACAAACTTCTCTTGGCAAACAGCTCAACTACAACTCATTACCAACCAAGACAGTTAAACCAGTACTGTGCTGTTAGCTGAAATATCATTTACAAGGATCTACACTGAGGGGTTGGCAAAGTGCTTATATAGGTTTATATAAGACCCAGCAGGATTTCACAAATAGCACTAAAAGTAACTGGTAGGTTTTAGCTAGTAGCATGGTTTTGTTACAACCATGTTAATATCTTTACACTAAGCAATAATGTAGGTACTAGCAACTGAACAAGAGTATCAAGAACAACATATGGCACAATTTTTGTTATGGATGAAGATCATTATATTGCTTCAATTAATCTCATTTGGATGAAGAAGTATACCACAGAGATAAACATTGTGAGGAAGTTGACCTGTTTATTATTTAATAATGTAAAAAAAAGTACACAATTGGAAATTAATCCAAAAAGCCATGTCATACCTGCACTTGTTTTATAACATGTCCTTTAGGATTCTGGAGATGATGCATTAATTGTTCCTTCTTTGTCTTCAGCTCTTTAACTATGGACTGTTTTTTAGCAAGCTCAGTCATAACTGGCATTTTGCTTTCAATCTCCCAAAACAGTGCTTTATGGACCAATATTTTCTCACGATATGCTTTGTTATTTGCAAGCATTGCCTCAAATTCTTCTTCAGCTGTTTCTGTGTCAAGTTTAAGCTTTACGTTTTCAGCATACAGGGATCTGACTTGGGCCTCCAGACTTTTACAGTTACATTCTGTCATTTCTATAGCATCATCTTGCTGATAAATTTGCCTTTCTGTTGCTTTTGTGTCTAATAAAATAGCGTCCCTTTGTCTTTCAAGGTCCTGAAGCTCAAACTGTAAAACATTGCAATACTCAACTTTCAGTTGAAAGCGATGTTTGAGACAATCACAGGGAGCTATTTAAACAATATGGCCTACATTTAATTGGGTGGGGCATGTATTTGTGGAACACAAAATAAACCATCTATAAGCCTTAAAAATAATCTTTAGAATGGAAGAGCATTGTTGTTCCATTTTCTAAAATCATCACCTAAGAGACATAACACATGAGCAGTGTCCTAGGCTTCATTCATTTGACCTTAAAGGTGAGTAGGCATAAAATGTACTGTCTTTCAAATGAGTTCAGCTTCCTCATATTCACCTGGTGTGTAGTGGGATGTGTCACGCTCATCCTTGTCAAGCTCCCTAATGATTTGCCTAACAAGGAAAACTGGTTTATTTTGTGTCAGACTAAACCTAAATACTTACCTGCATCTGACCTGGGAAAACAACCATAGTTCAAGTACAGCTGTTAAAATTGAACTAAAGGTGTGTCAGCCTACACTATAACAAGAATGTAGCTGAGTTAAGACTGGGTAGCTAACTCCATTCTGTTCTGTCAGGGTCATATAGGGAATATCCACACCACAGCAGATTACTGTCTTATCCCAGCCATGTTCCCTGCAATTCAGACCCAAAAATGAAACAGTAAGATGCCCAGAAACACCCCAGCCTCCACTCCTGGGAATGCCAGAAACCCAAATCCTGAATGCAGTGCCAGGGGTGCTCCCAAGACATCTCATTTCCAGGGTTGCTGTGTGTGGTACAGGAACCAATTGGTGGGACTAGCTTTGGTAATAATAAGCAGGGATCCTGGTTTTCTCTGATTTTAAAAAAAATCCCCAATTTTCAGTTAAAGAAGTGTGACCCCAAATCCACATCTTTCCATACATTAAATTAAACACCACTTTATATATGGTGGTATACATATATATATATATACACACACACACACACACCACCATCTTTATCTGTGTGTGTTACACACACTCGTATACATACATACATAGAGAGAGACAGTGGTCTTTCATTTTAATCATGAAAAAATATAGATTTGGGGTTACTTTTTTTTTTAACTGAACAGTGGGGATTTTTTTAAATCAGAAAAAAACAGGAACCCCTGTAGTAAGACTGATCTCTCTGCTGCCATGATCTCAGCCAGGTCCATCTAACTGTTGGGTGCCCGGGAAACATATGCCCCTGAGGCCAGACAGCACATGGACTGCATGGCCTCCAGGCTACATGCCAGATAGCATGCCCCCTCCACTACACCATGTGAAGCTTCTCCTCTGGGGCCAGGGAGGAGAGGAGGAGGCAAGGGGAGCCTGGAGACCCCAGGGCAGCAGCTGGAAAGTGACAGGGAGAGCAGTGCCCAGGCCAGTAGCTAGGTGGTTGCAACTTAACCCCCACACAGGACACATGCAGCCTGCAGGCCACCAGTTAGAGAGCCCTGATCCAGACTTATCCTTTTCTCATGACTGTGATAGCTGAGTGTCTCACACCATACTAATTCCTTAAGCAATGTGGCTACATCAGTTGCATATGGTTTGTTCCAGTTCTCAACCTTTCAACCAGGGAAGAATTGTGCATCCAGTGAATGTTTTGCTATTGCCTTAAATGCTTAGATTGTAAGAGAGGCTTTTTAGGATCGTTTGTGTCAGCTAGCCCTTATCCACTAGCCATCCTGGGCAGGCAAGCAAAAAATCTGAATGGCAATGATCTAAATTTGAAGAAGTTATTGTTTTGCATCTAGATAAGGGGACAACCTTAAAAAGGCAAAAGCTATCTTGCCTTTCGTGTTTCATGAGCTTTGAGTACCAAATGATTTAACCATAACATTCTTCTAACTCTGATTTTTGTAGGGAATTTCCAAGGATTTTTATAAAGAAAGAAAGGGAAGGTAGTGTGAGAAAGCAAATAAATTAGCCTAACTGTCCAGGATTTTGAAGCTCTAGAGCAGGAGTGGGCAATTCTCTTTGCTGGAGGGACACTTAAAGAGATCTGGTGAGCTGTTGTGGGTGGTGGGGGCATTTATCCTATCTAGCCCTGGGCCTGCCCACCCCAAACCCACCCCCAGGGACCCTAGACAGAGCAGGCAGGTTCTCCATGGCAGGACCACTACGGCAGGACTCAGTGGGCTGCGTAAATGGAACGGGATGGGGCCATGGCAAGCTGGGGAGCAGTGGCCCAGAGTGGTGGGGCTGGGGCTGAGGCTGGGATTGCAGGGCACTAACAGCAGGGGGCTGGGGCAGAGCTGCTATCCGCTCCCCACATGTCCGTGTGATGGGCACTGGTTCCACAAGCAGGGACATGAGGACAGTAGACGGTGACTCTGCCCAGGGCCCTGGCCCTGTGCTGTCACTACCCTGCAATCCTGGCCCTGGCCCCAGCCATCCCATTCTGAATGCGTCTCCCCAGCTGCGCTGTCTAGAATCCCTTGGTGGCTTGGATCCAACCTGAAGGCCATATTTTGCCCACCCCTGCTCTAGAAGTGTTAAAAAACTGCAAATCTGTGCAAATTTTATGCTCTATTTGGAGCATCTATGTTAGACTGTACTGTTGTGTTACCCTGGCAGGAAAGAGAGGTTCTAAAGGAGGAAGGTCAAAGTACGATGCCTCTTGGGCATCTTAAAGGCTCCAGAAGGAAGGAAGATGCTGCTGTACTATTACAGTGCACTTCAGATTTTTAAGGTACCCAGTGGCCCTCAGAATGATGAGCGAGCCCTTTCCCCAGTCCCAGTTCTCCTTATTGATTTAGGTAGTTGACTATAAAACCAACATACTTGTGCATAAATGATCAAAAAGAATCCTTCCTCAGGTACATATCACGTGAACTCAGCAAAAAAAAAATCTACAGCACATACTTGATACGTAACTTTCTGATGAATGAAACTCAGATAAATCAAATCAGGAAGAAGAGTGTGCACTGCTCCCCCTTCAGAGAAATTAACTTCATGCAGAATTTCAAACCTCAGCTGTTACAAATATAGAACTATTAAAATTATTATAGGAATTATTCCTATAATAATTTTTCTTTGCAATTCTGACCATATTAAACATGGCTGATTTTTTTTTAACGTGAAACTTAAAAAAAATCAGTTTTAGGTAGAAGTCAAGGCTGAATATATCAGTCCAAAAGGTGAAAGTTTCAGAAGTGTCTGTAAGCAGTTAGAACAGAAACAATTATACAAATTTAGCTATAACTAGATACATCTGGAGCTCTGCTGCGAAATATTAACAAATAAAAGCTGCATTTAGTGGCAGTTAAGGTAGAAACAAGAAATATGTTATATACCCAAAAGCCATAAGTACAGGATGATTTTAAAAAAACCTTGCAGAAAGAGTACAAGGAGAACTGAAACAATTTAGTGGAAAACTGCCAAAAGGAGTGATTTTAAAGTCTTATTCTTTCTTTATCCATACATTTTTACAAAGCATTCTAAAAATTCAGGATGTCTATATTTCTATGTTATGTTTTCGTTTTTGCCATTTCAACAGGATTTTCACAAAATAAGGAATTAAGCCATCCGCTAAAAATGAACTCTAACCAGTCTTAGCTCTTGAACAACCATATGTATAATGATATAAACATGTGAAGTCCTGGCAATGCTTAAGCCTTAGAGGGCAATTGAAAATGGCAAAGCCTAGAAATGTCATCTCTCTTTTACTCACAACACTACTTTCTTGCTTAGTATGAAATACGAATAAGATCTATATAAGATCTAATTACCTGCAACTGGGCAAGGACTGTTTTGCTCTTTTCTATCTCTGATGCTTGTGTATGTTGCTGCTCTGCTACTTCTTTTACCACTTCACCGAATGATGGTGAATTTTGCTTAGCCATTTCTAGAGAAAAAGACAGCAGTAAAAAAACATAAAATAAAAATGCTGTATGTATACTGTTTTCACATAGTTGAGTTCAGTGCTATGTTAAATGACTCTTTAAAAGAACAATACTTTCTGACTTATTCTTCCCATGTGAGCTCAGATTAATCAGTTATTACTCCTGGGCCATATTTGTTCACCAAAGAAAATTTAGGAATGGCTAGAAACTCAAAGGAAATGATAACAATGACTGCAAAAATCTCCTCTTCGGAGTCTCTTTTATAAATTATAAATCATTCCTTTGTTTCATACTATAAATATTCCTACTACTATTCTATTGAGCAGATCCCATTGCTATAAACCAGGCATAGTTCCATGTGGCAGAAGCATGTGTTGAAGCCTTCTTCTCTTTGTTTTTGGCTGGATAACTTAAACACTACAGCTACAATAGCAACACGTATCTGAGCTGAGGCAAGTTAATCACTAAACTCTGTTACCTCATTGATGTACTTGATGTCTCTTAAATGAACAGCTTAGAACAGGAAAAACTGGAAAGACATAGGATTGAAACAATGGTAGCGCACACAATGTGTTTGGTAAATTGATCAACAGCAATCAAAAAACTTATATAAAATTTATCACTGCTACATTTATATAATTTTAAGTAAAAGTTTATTAAGTCTAGGAAATCAAGTGATACTGGTTAAATATTCAGGAAATGTGTGTGGAAAACAGTGCCATAACAAGAGAGGGGGTGAGTGGGGCGACCACCCCAGGCGCTGAAGCGAAGGGGCACTAACAGAAGCTGCCCAGCCAGTGTGGGGTGCGGGATGGAGCCGCAAGCGGCTTGTTTTGGGGAGCGCAGGGATGGTGGGGGGGAGGCTTCCACCACTGTGTGCACATGCTGGCAAGCATGTGGGGGCATATGCCCCCCGGATCTGTGTGCGGGGCGAGGGCAGGCTGCTGCTGTAGGCTTTGCCCCAGGCACCAAAATTTCTTGCCATGGTACTACACGTGAAATATATGTTCAAGATCAAAATGTGGTAGCCAACACACAGTTGAGCTATGAGCTGGATTTATGTCGAACAGAGAATGTGATCATTTGCTTTTTTTTCTCTACAGGTTTGGCTAGATGGAAACACGTTGTAGAAGAACATATTTCAATTAGAAAAGCCACAGTGGCATACTTTGATTTGCAGCATTCATGTCCACAAGAAGAAAATAAAGAGATTTTTCATATACTCTCCAGTGCAGGTGGAAAATAGTTATCATACACTGATAGTGTTGGAGTGATATTGTAGCCATGATGTCTCAGAGAAGCTGCAAGAGGCAAGGATTTTTGTGGGTGATAACTTTTACTGAGCTGAATATAAAAAAGATACCACCCACAAAAATCTTTGCCTGAGTTGAATACATTTCAATTGCATTTTAAATCAGGAAAATATTAACTGCAGCATTAAAATATTAACTGTAGTATTTAAATATTAATTTACTGTTAAGATTAAAGTAAGGAAAATAATTATGCTTCTTTTTTAGATGAACACAAACAGTGTGACTCTAAGAAGTCTTGAATTCTTGGATGGACGTTAGACCTTTACTTCTGATCAATACCACTAACAGCTGTGATGTCTCGAAATGTGGTATTTGTGGCAACCCAAACAACAGCACATCTAGAAAGTCCTGCTATGGGAGTTCAGTATTAAGGCCACTCATGATTTTCCCAGTATTTGGTGCACTCCTCGAACCCAAGCTTCTGGGGTCTGGTTATAATATATAAATTTAAAAAAAAGAAGATTTCACAGCTGAAAAATGTGACACCCAAGGGCTCAGAAATCAGAAGTCAAATACCCAACCATTTTCTAATTGAAAAAGCCTCACAATTTCACGCTCAAACTCCTGGTTCTTTGGGACTGGATTCATGAGGCATTTTGGCCTGTAGGGCTAATACCACGGGCCTAAAAAACCTCACCAAACCCTACAGCACTTGGCAGGAGCCAGTGGTCAGACAGGTCTGTAAGAAGACAAAAAGGGAGGCCGTAAAGGCACTGGGTTTTGTATCCATAGAGGACAACCAGCCTGTCCTCTGTGATGGCCAGGCCAGCCCAGGTGGAGGAGAGTAGGTACCAGGCCTAGTTTGGTAGCACCCAAAGACAAACACAAATCAGCCGGGAAGTCAAGGAGGGGGGGGGAGGAGCGGGCACCTCACGCACAGCGGAGCTGCCAAGCCCTATGCACCAGGTGCAGCAACACAGGGGACCCCCAGGACTCCCCCTCACACAGCAGCAGCCTAGAGAGCATCTGCAAAGAGGGAGAGGCTGGGGAGCACGAAACCTCCCCGACGGCTGAGCGAAGCGCCTGCTTCAGGGGCTGTGGCCAAACTGACACCCAAAGATAAAAGCGTGCAACAGAGGAACGGCGCACGCGCCGTTTGCAAATGAAAGCCGGAGCTGCGGGCTAGTCTAGCCCCCGTCCAGGCCCCGCTCGCTGGGCTTGGTTTTATTTACAGTTTCAGGTGCACCCCGCGGGCAGGCCGAGTTCACATTTGCAGGCTTCTGCATGGCCGGAGCTCAAGACCAAGCCACCCCCTGGCCTGGGAACAACAGCTCCGAGGAGCGGAGCGGGGGAAATGCAACTTTCTCAGGGCGCTGCAGGAAAGATCAGTCTCCCCCTCCCCCTGCGCGGGGGTGAGGCACTTCCTGGTGGCAGTGCCGCCTTTTCAGGGCGATTGCAGCTCCGCTGGGGATGGCGGGTCCCTTTCAGCTCTGGAGATGAGCTGCCTGCACCTCCGCCTGGGTAACCCGACTTCACTTCCTTCGTCTCGGGCTCTGGGGCAGAGAGGGCTCCTGCCCCCCTGTCTTAGCTCCCCCCCTGCATGTCTTGCCTTATCGCAGGCACGTCTGAAGCTGCGTGCACCTGAGCGAGTCTCAGAGCAGCACACGCATAAGAGCTGGGTGCTGATTTAAGCGAGCCCACGGGTGTTTCCGGCCTCATCGTGACCCTAGGCTTTAATCTTGTGCAAACGCCTCTCAGGATTTCCTCCAGGCAGTGAGAGCTGCCGCCCAGGGGCCTGGGGAGCGAGGCAGGCTCTCCCCGTTCACAACTGACCTGGGAAGGGAATTTCCAGCTTGCAGAAATCAGCTGCTTGGATTGGTAATTAGGATGAGGCCATATAATAAGATTGCTAATAGTTATTTCTTTTATAGGATCCCCTTCTGGAGCACTGGATACTTATGTAAGTAAATGCTTGCCGTTCTTCACTCCTCGTTAATGTTTATTTTTGCAATTTCAGATCTGCTTCCTGTTTTAAGTGCTAAATACTAACTTTTGGGTCTTTCTGTTTCGTACATTAAGATTAGCAATGAATTTCTTTGTGTTTGCCCTGGCTGGCATGTAGTGCTTTACTCATAAGAGTTTCCTCTTCCGTGTTTGTTTAAAATACTAAACTCTTTGTATCTTTTTTCTGCTGTTTGTGTATGTCCTTATTTATCTAGCATAACACATTAAATAATCCTTGTCCTTTTTTATTTCTTTAAAAAACCTATCTCTTGAAAAACAAAACAAAAACTGTGAGTACTGCCTTAGTTTAAAAAAGAAAATGAGGCTGAGTGATAAGATGCAAAGAAAATCAATGTGGGGAAAAGGGAATAACTTATCCTTTTAATAATTTAGTTTTAAAACGCTTTCAGATTTTAGGAACCTTTCTTCTGAAAAATGTTTCTGTTCTAGTTTGGCTCTTTTTTTTTTCTAGGTAGTTTTCCTCTTTAAAACTTTCTTCCATATCCCCACTTTACTTTTTTGCCTTCTGTCCCAAAGCGAGTAGAGGTGTGTGTGCATGTGAGTAAAAAATATTTAAATGGGTTAAAATTGTATACTTAAACTATTATGGCTTTCTTCTTAAAAACAAGCACAGCTACATTAAATCTGATTCACATATTATGTATGGAAAGACCTAAGACTTTTAATCTCTTAAAACATTTAAATAAAAAGGTGTATAGGATCCATGAACCTCTAATCAGAAACTTTGCTTTACAGTCTGCACACTTTTTTTCTGTCATACTTGAAATAGGGACAGAAGTTGCACACAAAGTAGCTTTAAGTAAGTGGAAACTGGTTTAAACCTGTAACAGAACAGAAGTTCAGCGCACATGAGCTAGTTTCAAAATTGCTAAAACCAGTTTGAAATCAACCTGGTTGAATGTAGTATCAGACTTTTAACTGACTGAGCTCAAGCTGGTTTAGGGAACATCTGTCCCACCCCCTTCCTGGTTTAAGTTAAACCAGTCCCCCAGCATGCTCTGCAGCCCTGGGCAGGGCTGTGCTCTTTACTTCAGTGGAGCAGGACTGGCCCTGCCCCTCTGTTCCCTAGCTGGAGCAGGGGGGGGCAGGGACGTGACCAGATGCCAGGCCCCATAAGGCAAAGGGGGCAGGAAAGAGGTTTATTCCCCCAGTCCCTCCCTTGTTCCACCAACACGGCTTTGCCAGCATTTCTCTGCTCGCTGCTCCAGTGGTGGGGGCATGGCCAACCCCAGCAGTAGCCTCAAGTGAACTGGCCAGGGAGGGAGTTTAATTTCCCCCTCACTGTCCTACTAGCACAGACCCAGCTCCCCCTTTGCTGCCACAGTGGCAGGGGCATGGCCAGGCACCACCTGGCATGGGCTCCCTGAGGCAGAGGGGGTAGGGAGGGATCAGTCATTCTGCACCCTCCGCCCCAGGGGACCGCGGTGGGGTCTGCCAACCCCAGCCATTCCCGATTTTGCTCCTTGCATGGGGTGAGCACTAGGATAAGTTCCCTCACTGCCCACTTTGCCAAGCACTGCAGGTGAAATAACCCACCTTCGTGCCCTGGTGCCTGATGAGGCCATGTCAGCTGGCCTCTGGCTGCACCCCCACCCCTGCTGCTGGAGTGGTGAGGGGACAGGGACTGTGACAGGGGCAGCACCCCCTCTCATGGTGTCCCAGAGTGCAAGCCTCTTCCTGGCAGGGGGCTGTGCTGCAGGTAGGGATGGGGCGGTCAGAGCTGCCGCAGACTGCGTGGGGCAAGTAGTGGCAGTGCTAGCAGAGGCCTGGGGGACTGTGGTGACCCCTCTGGGCCCCAGTGCTGCTGCTTACCCTGTGCAGTCTGTGGCAGCTCTGCTCACCCCCACAGCACAGCCCCCCTTCTGGGAAGAGGCTTGTACTCTAGGACACCATGAGAGGGGGTGCTGCCCCCATCACGGTCCCTGCCCCCCTGCCAATTCAGGGGCACGGTCAGAGAGCAGCCAATATGGCCCCTCTAGGCAATGGGGCATGGAGGGGGAGGTATTTCCCCCTCCCTTCAGTGTCTGGCAACAGGAAGGCGGAGGGGGCTTATTTTGCTGCTCACCCGGCATAGGGAGAGATCGGTGATAGCAGCCTCAGTGGTTCCCTGAGAGTAGCATGAGAAATAAACGCCCCCCCCGCCCCCTCTGCCTCAGGGGGCCAAGCCGGCTGGTGCCAGGCCTCACCCCCACCCCTGCAGCTGTGGCAGCAAGGGGGGAGCACCAGGTGGACCCTGGCTCAGGTTCATGTTGGTGAAACAGAGCGGGGAATTAACACTGCCCCCCCAGCACCACTTCCCTGCAGCTGACAGTGCACTCTAGAGCCCCCTCAGCTCCTGGCCTGAGTGACTATAGGCAGGTACTTGCATTTTCTGTCTGGTGGGAATGTCTAGTCCCTTAATTGGTTCAATCTAGGCAGGTTAGGTCACCTGCAAAGATTGAATCAATTTAGGCTCTGGCTTTTTGAATGTCTGTACCTAGCCCTAGAAGCATAATCATCCTATATGGGGAATCATGGTTTAGAAATATGGCAATGTAGGCCCTGTACCAGGAACTAGGACTCTACGCTAGCTACAGAAAACTGGCAGTCACTTCAGACATTGGGACCTGGCCTCTGACTGCAAAGAAGACCATCACGTTTTGGCTGAGGATACATTTCAAGTTACCATCCTAATGCAACAGCTTGACACACACAAGCCCCCCATATCTGGTAAACAAAGATGATGTCTATCAAACTAAAATGTAAAATGGATACGAGTATGAAGCGAAGATATATTTGAAACCAGTAAGCACGGTGGACTTACGTAAGCCAACACATGGGTTTGCTTGGCATATACCGTATTTTCAGTCATAGCCTTTTTAATAGCTGGGATAGAGGTCATAAAACTTAATAGCATTCTACTTTGCAAATACATTTTGTTTACAGTCAACAGCATTTTGTCCATGGAGAGATGTGATGCAAAACTGGAAAGATGCAGTAGTGAATTGGCCAGTTATTCTTGTGTGCACCTCCTAGCCATTTCCCCAGTGGATTTCTTTCCATGTATGCACATCGTAACTGTGCAAGTAATCATCTCTCCCGCAGCACACATTCTTTTTCTCTTGTTAGGCTGAACTTCTGATTAATGCCCGCCAACTCCATGGGAAATAAAGAGATGAGGCAGCCTAACCTCTTGAGCTCTCTAGTTAAAGCCTTTGGGCCTGTGTCTATGGTCTACATCACACTGCTTACCAAACAAGAAAATTTTCCTACTTGGCATTTTCCATTATATGTAAATAGTACTCTGAGGGAGACTGAAAGTCATTAATTCCTTGACAGACATAGCGATCTGCAATCAGGTTTTGATGGACAGTTCTTTATATATTTTAAGTGGGTCAGTAGATTCATTTGCATTGAGGCAGATTAAGTCCTTTGTGTGTTACATGCAAAAAGAGGAAGAAAAAAACAGTTGTCATTACTTTTTTATTTTCAGTAAACAGCCACCACAGCTTTTTATATGAGTGCTGTATGTTTCTTTGTAACCCCATGCTGAGTAAATGGAATGTGAAAACATGTAATCAGCTGGACTCGTCTTGGTTTTGGAGTCTCTTAGGTTCCACTGTCCACAGCAGAAGACAGTTGCCAGTGGGCACGTCTGTATGTGTGCATTTAGTGCACAGTAACTGAAATTACTGTGCCGTAGGGGTGCATGTCTACACGTGCACCCTGTACTATGTAGTAAATATGGCAACTTGCACAGGCTTGAACATAAGTTTTGATACCTGCATCATGCAGGTATTAAATTTACTTCCAATTAGTTACTGCACAGTAATGCACATGTAGATGCCTTGCCATTGACAGTGTGTGTGAACTGACTTGAGACACTTCAGTTCCAAGTCAATCAACAGACAACGTTAATGTACTTTAATGACTGCACATGTAGATGCTGGCCTGTTCCCACTACTGCACCATAAATTTAAGCCAGTGTAAATGCATGTGTAAACATACCCAGTTGCACTGTACTGCCTTGTGCAGGTAAGCCTCAGGTTTGTTGTAGAAGCTGTCCTTCTGCTTGTATGGGATAGCTGATCATCTTAGTGCCAGAACAGAGAGCAGGAGGCCTTCTCTATAGCAGGAAGAAGGATAACCGAAGAGCACATGCAGATTTGGAGAATCTGGGATTATATGATGGAGATGCCATTATAGTAGGGGTCTGGCCTCAATGACCCTGAAGGTCCCATCCAGTTCTAGGTTTTCTGTGAATGTGTCTGTATGATTTATGAATTAAAGAGAGAGAGTTGGTATTACGAGAAACTATTATATGCTGGAACACTGCTGTGCAGCTATGAAATCCACTATTTACAAGGACTGTGTTGCATCCCTTGGACTAGAGAGGGAGTTAACCATTAAATCTGAACGGCCACTGATTCAGGAGAAAATGCTTTGGGCTTTACCTGAGAGCTAGGAGAACCCAGCTGTTCCAAACCTGTCTGCAAAGGGCTGGCAGATGGAGTAGTGGAAAACCTACCAAAGATATGAAGGGGTGGGAGGTGGGGGTGGGGAAGGAAACAAAAGTGAGGAGGCAGAGGCTCTCCGTGCTGGCAACAGATAGAGCTGGCAAGAACGGGGAACGCCCAGATGACGGGCAGCAGCTGGAGCAATAAGGTTCCCTCGCACTGAGGGGACCGAGGCAG